ATCACTGTTTGACGGCAACGATTCAGCTCTTTGAAGCAACGTTTTTGCTACGGATCTTTTATGGCTTACTGGGGGATGAGAGTCGTATGACAAGTATTTGTTTGTGTGTGTGGGTTTGCGATAAACATCAGTTTCTAACTTCCCTTCGACAGTTCTGTGTACATTCAAATCTAAAAAAGCTAAATGTCCATTTATCTCACGTTCTACCGTGAATTGGATGGACGGCTCAATAGAATTTAAATGTTGCAGCAGAATATCGATCTCATTTGTAGAAACCGCAGAGATGACATCATCGACGAAACGTTTCCAAAACGATAGGGACACCGGAACAGAGGCTAAAGCTGTTCGACATCTTCCATTACTAAATTAGCAATTACTGCCGAAACTGGTGACCCCATCGCTGTTCCAAAAACCTGTTGATAATAACAGCCCTCAAACACAAAGTATGTGGCGTTGAGACAAAAAGACAGAAGATCAATAATATCTTCTACAGGCAAGGATGTTCTTTGTAACAAAGTGGCATCCTGTCTTAGTCTTTTTGCCGCAACCTTGATGGAAAGATCAACTGGGATATTTGTAAACAAGGAAACGACATCAAAATAATGATACCAACACTTCATCCGCTTTAAGATATATTATCTACATTCAACAACTGTCCCAGTAGCCCCATTACAGGGGCCAACAATTGACCACAAATTCGGTTAACATGACCGTAGAATCTTTTGCTAGAAACACGTCCAGGTTCTAGCCCAGACATATCATCTGGGGATACCTTTTTGGCCAATGCTGATGAATGGCGAGCATTAATATGAGCAACTGGATGCTCACGTTTTGTTAGCTGCTCATGGTTGTAATTAGTAACTTGTTCATTACTATAAAAGCGTCTAGTAGAATCTTCAAAGTCACATAGTGACATTCGATGGTTGACGTGTCAGACGTAACTTCCAGTCATCAACTGTTGAGTCACCTTTGCGAAGTCGTAATAACAAATCTCTGAATTGTACTTGCTCAGATGTCATACCTTGCACACGTTGATTTGCATTGAGTTTAACAACTTTGTCAAACATATGATATGCTTGATAACCTTGTTCACCAACAGCGTTTGATGGTTTAGCATGGTAAAGAGACTTATTTGCTACTGGTGGCAATTGACCTGGATAACTAGTTAAAATCAATGATTTTCCTCCAAATACTTTGTCAAAAGAACCAGTTGCTTGTTTGCAACGCTTTTCTATCCAACCATAAGTAACTTGGCCAAGCATAGCATGCAAGCTTGGCCAATGTTATTAACACTCTCTTGTAACATACACACACTTTGTCCTGTTAGGTCTTTATTTAATACGTCTTGAATGCACAGTTACACCTCTAATTTTATAAGCTGCTTCACCTGCATGGTAGCAGTAACAGCGCATTTACTTTGCAAAAGATTTCTAATAGCATAGCCTGCGAACAGGCTCTCAAGCTGAATTGAGAGCCTGCATCGATGACTAATGAATTTGAATATCTGCGTCTCAAATCGTGACGCGAAATTCTCATTGGTCAGATGCTATAATTTATATGTTTCCGCTGGGCTCTATATATGTCAACTGCTGAAGCACTATGCATAAAAAACACATTAACTGATCAAATTGGTCTTGGCCATCTTATCTCAAAGCACGAAATGTTCTGTTTTGAGAAAACAGTATTTAAAACATTTGAACTTTTGCTTGAATATCTTATATTTCGAAAAACAGTATAAACTGTACGGTCTAAATTTAGTTTCCACGGTCTAAATTTAGTTTGCACAAAAGTTGTAAACAACACCATATAAGGATAGACATTCCATATTTGGAAAAACGAACGTTACGGGGCAGATATTCAAATCCATTAGTCATCCATGCAGGCTCTCAATTCAGCTTGAGAGCCTGTTCGCAGGCTAGTGTAGTGCTATATATATATATATATATATATATATATATATATATATATATATATATATATATATATATATATATATATATATATATATATATATATTATATATATATATATATATATATATTATATATATATATATATATATACATGTCTATATATATATATATATAAGACCTTCCTTGGGAAAACATACGTTAACGATTTTGCATTAAAACGGGCAAAAAAACGGATAACGAACGGATAGTAAACGCTTTGTCAAATCGTTTCAACGGATCCTCAAAACGTTTTAGACGTTTTGAGTAAAAAATACGAACGGATGAAGACAAAAAATTTAACGGCTCTACGAACGGCTTTAACAAACCGTTCGAACGGAATTAAGAAACCGTTTAACGATATTCAGCGACCGTTTCAACTGATCTGTACAGAATGGTATAAAGCAGTGAACAATAATATACACTAAAACATCAGTGCACTGATCCAGAATTAACAACCACGCATTTATCCAGATGCATGCAGACGCATGCACACACAAAATATATCACTTTGGTGTTTATAAACGTTTCAAATTTTATGGATTTCCATACTAACAAAATCAAAGACGCTAAAGTGGTTTGCACTAAGTCTAAAGACAATCTGTTACCGGAGACATGCGGCGATATCAGTTTTACATAACACAGCCGACCTGAGACTTACGGATATAAGGTCTCTACTGTAAACGCGACTATCAGGACTATGCGCAATATATAATAGTTATCAGGCCTAAAACTAAAAGTATAGTACACATACGAAACATACATATAGTCTCTATACGGTCTATGTAAGAAATTTTGCGTAGGATTTGTTGGCAATATTTTCGTGATTCATAATTTCAAAAAGGAAATTAAATTAATTAGCGTGGTATAATAGATTATGCATGAAAATAGCCAGACAAGAACACTATAATAGCACAATCCAAAGTTTGAAAAATGAACATGAACTCGCGAGCTGATAATAGCTGTGTAGTGGGGATTTAGCGATCACAGTTTGAGTATGCAACGCTAAGACACAACAGCTGGAACTATATATACGTACATTATCTCATTTATCTGTGTTGATCGAACTTGTCGCGAGTGCTATTGTCTCAATTATAGCCTGTGGCTCAGACGGGCTCAGTATGACTTGTTTGATATTGTGGTATTTGTGGACACATTTCTGTCAAAAATCGGTCGTCCACTGCATGCTTAATTTACGCATCGGTAATTTCCTCTTTACTATAGCCTGTAAAACACGGCAGGTCTAAAATTCAGGGGGCTGATTGTTAAATTATTGTCACTATAATATTATCCGTAATGACTGAACTAATGCGGTCACAATGGATTTAATAGCATAATAGTAAAAGGTCAAGTACCTACAGACCTACTTAAATTAAACCAACTATAAAACAGTTTGAACGGCAAATATAAAACACAGCACGCAGTAATTGTAAGGTATATTGCAGAATGCAGATAATAATAATGACGATATGATATATTGGTACTGAAAAATCTGAATGCACTCCTTAAAATGCACTCCTTAAAATGCACTCCTTAAAATGCACTCCTTAAAATGCACACTTAAATGTTTTCCTTAAAATGTACAAAATCCTGTGAATGTAAAGTCATCATATCACGGTCACTTATATCATTCATGGACATTCATGGACCAACAAAAAGACGCTCATACTGTGTATATGCCAATTAAGGCTTCAATTAAGCACGAAGTACCGACTTCGTTTTACAAGCAAGCTAGCTGATATTCTTAATTTACTTGTTATATTTATAGTACATCTTTTTACAAGCCTAATCAAGAAGACCAATTCCCTTTTATGTTTTCGCGCAATCACAACATCGCTATTTAAAACGTCATTACTCTTTAGCATACACAACTATTAATATATAAGGCTGTCCCCCCCCCCCCTGCAAAGATAGCTTGGAACACGTTAACACACTCACAACTTTTCCTAGTGGTCTCCTATTTTACTTTCTTTAAAGAAATGAGAAATAAGTTATAATTGTTTAATCGGCATAACTAGTTCATGACCACCAGGACTACGCTAAGTCGCTAACCTTACGACGTCTTCTCTCTTGTGATGTCGTCCTATATCTTTTAAGATACATAAATGCATTTTAGGTTCTAAGAACATACATAGCTAATCCCATGAAATAAATCCACGTCTTTTTTAACTTGACGCTGTTTTCCCTCTTCATTATTGTATATGCACGCTATCCATTGCCCATTGGCGCAACTTGAGCTTTGCAAGGTAATATTTGTTGCTTGATTGAAAAGGTAATTAAAATAATCTAATTAATGTCACTTTTTGTGACATGTAATGCAAGTGTTTCTTATCACGCTGCACGACACAAAAGCTATAACCTGAAAATATCGGAAAAGGTGGGTTAAGTACCTTCCATCTGTTCCATCGAACTCTGAGATCCTATGAATGTACGCTGATGATACCGTGATATTCCGCGAGGGTGCTGAAGTATGCAAAATTCAACACTACAGGGACAGTGCGTCAGTGCCTGATGATTTGGCGAAAGGTAGATATGTGGTTTAAATTAATAAATTAATAAGGTTTATGATAATATGCTACATATGCATATCCATAAGGATAAAACGAAATCTGTTCTGTTTGGAACACTATTTGCGCGCTTTTCACTGCAGAACGATGATCTAAGAATTGAACTGCAAGAAAAATGTGACATCTCGGTGTCTACTTAGAACGAGGTTTATCATTAATTTTATTGAACATGTAAATAGTCGCCTGAAGATGAAAGTAGGAAAACGGTTAGGTCAGTATGACCAGAAGTCAGCCGTTCCTAGCTAGTTATATGCTGCTATTAATAAAGTCTATACGGCTATATGGTACTGCCGGTCTTTGACTACTGTGACGTTGTTTGGGACACTCTCAACGACACAGCACTAACACAAACTAGTCAAACTAGAAAAAAACTACAAACAAGAGCAGAAAAAATCATAGACATGTATCAGTCATACGAACTAAACATCGCTAATTTCCCGCAGAAAAATGCATACTGCCATTTTAGTTTTTAAGTGAACAATCAGAGTTCCACCTTTCTTACGAAAATATCATCCGACTTATCAAATCCTTGCAGAATAACGAAAAACTGCGCGCATAAATGTGATATACTTAAAGTTAAACTGGTATTTAGGAGTAAGGGCTTTTATGCTAGAGACCCACAATTTTTTAACCGTTTGCTTTTCGTATATTCGGGAAGAAAATATTTTCATAAACTTTAGGAAGAGAGTCATAGAGCACTTTAGAAATCCATAATATGATCTTTCTAGCATAGATTCTATAATTAATTATTGTAAACTGTACGATTATTTATTATATTATATTTTGTAAAATCTTCATATAATCTCAAAAAAACAAAATTTAAATTTATTTAGTAATTAGTTAGTATTCAGGGCTAGCTCACGTTGATACCATATGTAGTTCTTCTGAACTGACGTGACTACTCTGGATGAAATAAAGTTATATTTGATTTGATTTGATTTGATTTGAAGGAAAAATCGATATGTTAACCGAGTAATGTCGACAGCAGGGCTGGATGCGACTAGTTGAATAGAAAATTAGGGTATCGCCTATCGGAATAATTCTTTATATCTTTGAGATTCCTCGCGATAATTAAAGAGTTATGACAGTTGTTGTACTTATAACACCTGCTTATATCAGATATTATAGCACAATAGCTCCCGAAAGACGGAAGGCACAAAATTTCTATTAGCCATGTCAATTAAATAATTATAAAAAGTGTTTGAAACGCCAAAAATGTGATAATATTCTATCCTGAAACATCCCATTTTACACATGTAAGCACACGCTGCAAGAGAACCTTCTAAAACTCGCCGGGAATAAATGCATGAATAGTTTAATTAACAGGAAAAATTGCATGATTGACTAACTGTGCTTTATTATTCTTTATGTTGTAGCTGATTCCCGCATCTTTTATAAAATCGGCCATTTTGTGAAATAGTTCAATAAAGCTAGCAGTTAAATTAAAAGGCCTCAGAGACCAGGGTTAATATCAACTTGGACGTTTTCCCTATGCAGATAAGTGGATCAGATCAAGCTAATAAATAGCCAGTAGCTGGCTGTAACATTTTTTGACACTGAAAGTGAAACAATATCGGTTTCGGTTGGTGACAGGAGAATACCAGCTGTGAATCAAAGTAACAATCGTAGTATTCGCATAAGAAAATAATCGGCGAATAGTGTTGTGTGTAAATTTAATTGAAACGGAGAGTGCCTCGCACGCGGCCATGGTCTTCGAGTACAGTTTGCGTCGTTGCCGTTCGGATA